ATACCTTCAAAGTACAGAAAAATCCTTTAGAATTTTGACCTTAATTGAACGTGAATCAAATTACGGACTTTCTTAAATAGAAATAATTATTACAAAATTCATTGTTATGTAAATAAAACGAATGTGTAAAAAATTTCGCGGAAGCTAGGAAGTTAATTACCTACTTGACTAATGACATTGATTGATGATAAGTCCGAACTGCTATTGATATCAGATTCAAATGTTTGTTTTGAAAATAAATTATTTTTACTCTGGTTTATTTTGGATTAAATAGCTTTGGAATCGCTTACTTGAAAATATGCTTCCTGTTTAAATATGAAATGGAAACTTTATTTAGTTCCAATTATTTCAATTTATATGATATAACAGTGTTTTTCGGGAAATATGTAATTGTGGGACCCTTTTTATAATATTTTAAATATGAATGTATATAAAAATAAACATGTGTATATAAAACGCTATCAGTCTCTTTGCTTCCTCGAAAGTCATCCTAACAGTAAAAAAGTGTATCTCTGAATATATTTTGTCTTATCTCATAGGTTTAGGATTTTAAAAAGATTCTATTTAAAGTAATAGTCAGTAATTCAATCTTTTAAAATGTTATAATTTCACTTTTGACACCACTTACAGACGGTGAAGGAATGCATCGTGAGGAAACCTGGTCTTATAATTTCACAATTTTAAGTTTGAAATCACAAACCCGTCTTGAGCAGGCGTGGTGATTAATGCTCAAACCTTCTCCATGTGAGAAAGAGGCCTTTGCTCAGCAGTGGGCTCTTACTTTTATTATGATAAAAGGTTATATTAAGATATTCCACTACAAGAAACTATAGCTTCTCAGATCCGTGTGTAAACATTTCATAAATTTTTGTATTAATACTCTATTTTTTATGTCGTTGAAAATAATTTGAGTAAAGGTTATTTTATTCAAAGTAATTAATAATTTATTTTTACTTAAATCTAAAGTATTTTTAATTAAAGAAGTTTTATAAAAATAAATAATTAAGTGTTTTTTTATTAGATTTGGTAAAAAGTGTTTCTTGTAATAATTTTCCTAATTTGATAATTTGATGAGGTGCTTAAGACAGTTAAGTTTATTCATGAAAAACATTACCCATTTTTTTTTGTGTTTTAAATACTTGAAAATTGGCATTTTAAAATACTTCTCATTTTTGCTTCAATATATTACTTCAGGTAATAATATCTAAGACTTTCGCGAGTATTCATTTAAATAAAACTAATATTTCTGGATTAGCTACGCGTCTTTTTTTTTATTTGTCTCCTTTTAGACTGTCAGACATTTTCATCTCGTTTGCCCGTGATCACTGTTTCTGCAAAGTAACCGAAACGTCGGGAGTATGTAGTTTAAAATAATAAAAAAACGCATAGTAAATCCGAAAATATTAGTTCTATTTAATATAACTTCAGTTTAAAATGTCATATAAATAATACAAAACGAAAATTAAGAGTTTTATTATTTAAGACTGAAATTATTTGTAGGATTACGCTAATGACGTTTGTCAAAAAATATTTTTAAAATACCTTTCCACATTTGGGGCAGAGTAAACCAATAAACACAAATTTTCATTTTTATCAGAAGCAATAGTTCTATACAACTACAATCACTATGAACAAGGATATATTAAATATTTTTCAAACATTCATTTTTGAATTTAAACATAATATAAAAAACTTACATGTGGACTGTAATAAAATTGAAATATGTGATACTAAAACACTTCTCAAATTGTATGTTTTTCGATATCACTCTATGATTGTGTGTTATATGACAGAAACAGCACTCTTCAGTTAATCCAGAATTTAACAAATACTTTTATCTGTTAGATAACTCGTTCGTGTTATTTAGGATTAGATAAATTTAGATACATGAAGATTTTTAGTATACTGTTATCTAGTTTTTGAATACTATTTTCCCTTAAAACAATATTAATTTAAAATATTTTTCCTTACAAATTTGACTATAATTTAAAACTACAATTTGTTTATATACTCGTCTTAATAAGATATAGTACTAATAATTTATTAAAGCATGTTTCATTTCTTTTTACTTTATACATATATTGAAGGATTTTCTCTTACGTTAATTCACACATTGTAATATACATGAATTAATTGTAATTTAATCTATCTTTTATCTATGATAAGTAAACTTTTATCACCCTCACGTTTACACTCTGCAAATATTATAAAATTTTGTACAGATATATGTATCTGAATTTTTATACTGTTGTTTATCATTCTTGTGATACATACCAAAACTACAAAATAGTTATTTATTCTGCAAAGTAAAGTAAGTTACTTATACATAGTTATATAAGAGGGGATTATACTGATTGATTGAACTTTAATATCTAGAATAGGCGAAAGTGCAATTAACATATCGCGCACTAGTATACAAAGGCACGAGACATTTGCATTTTAACGCATGCCTTTCTTGCTATATACTTCTGCCTTATCTTACCTCATAGTAAGTCGGAAACATGATTATGTATCAAGCACTTAATATGCATAACTATGTGCCTATTCTCTGTAAATTCCCACAAGTAACCGCCAACGTATGTAACTATGTGCATTATAATTAGTTTTCTAGTCAATTAGTTTCATAATAAAAGTACTTGTTTCTTCTTTCAAGTAAGTTCTGCAAAATATTAACTAAGTACTTCTTCTTCTATCATAAAAATATATTACACCATTCCGTTAAAATTTCCACATCCTTATCATAACATATCACAACTTAATATAGTCGTATATTGGTGTAAGCCGATAACTCTTGATAATATTCGTGGCAGTGCGTCAATATATAGCCAAATATTTTTGATGAATTTTACAATTACTCCCGTTAAAAGAAGGTATTAAAACTATCTCGATATAGTTCTTTCTATTATATTTTTTATTGCTCGAACAATAAACACTTTTTATATAATTTACCCAATCAGTAAATATTTGAAAACTTACAACATTCTATCAAAACGATATCAAACATTACTCACCTCCAATAAAACATATCAGTACGTTTTATTTTTTCATTTTATTACCGTCACCTGAAGCAACAGATTTTTAACGTTCAACCCACGTAACTTAATCTTCCCAGATAAACTGATTGTATTTCCTTATTTCCGCACATGAAGAAATGAATTTGCTCAGCACAAACGTGTAAATAAAATTTGTCTTATTGCCCAAGGACACATGGCTGCGTGCGTGTTGCCATGGAAACGAAAGCCCATTAAATGGAGACATTAACATAGATGGCTTCAATCTTGCTAATACATGATGTAAATTGTACAAACTCGAGCTAAGGATATGAGAATCATCTGTGACGTGACTTAATGCTTTATAATGTTATTAGAGAAAATTAAGATTTATGTTATGTTTTAACAAATAATCCTTAACGTAGTCACTTGTTACAATACGTTGTAAACATGACCTACATATAGATATTAGAAAGGTAAATATTTTCGATTTAATAAATACCTATGTGTTTTTTTTTTTTATTTTTCTCCTCAATGTCGAGACAACCCATCAACGTAACAAGCTGTTTAATAATTCGGACAGTTTCTCGTGATCGTAAAACGACACATTTTGCGAATTTACCGTTATTGTTCTTCGTATCCAGGAGTAGCGATGAAACGTAAAATACTAAGTTCCATGTATCTCCATTATTTATAACTCGGTAACTTTAATTAAATTTATGCGACTATTCAAATTATTTTGTTCTAGACAGTAAACTAAATAGTAACTACAAAATTTCAGTTTATTATTCTGAAACTCATTATATTAAAAGCTAATTTATGGCCTGGGATCGTTACGTTTTTGTTAATTATTGAAATAATATTCGCCCGTTAAACCCATCCACTTGATAATAACCCAAAACTCTCACCGCTTATAACTTAAACACATAATTGTAGACTTAATAGCCCCCAAAACATTGGAGTCGTAAAAAGTAAATTAATGTTGTCGCAAATTAATGGAGAGGCTATTCCGCGTTCCAATTTATGTGATTACCTGCGATTACCGTCATTATGACATCTTCTTGGATCATACTAATGTTATGAAGTACTTATAATATAAAAATATTTACATTACTTAAAATATTAGTTCTCAGCAACCTTACCAATAGACACGTCTGAGCGATGAATGTATCCGTTATTTCAAACATAAGACTTTCTTAAAAATCAGTTTAGTAAAGTTAAAATCGTTACAAAAGCCATCGATTCACAAAAGTTTCGTATTTATATAAATCAACTCAAGAGTATAAATGAAACGTTCGACTGCAAATTTTTCAGTTTTTAAATGTTGAAGTCTCTTGAACTACGGTTGGAATTTTATGGAACACTCGAGAATTCACACTTAATTGATTGAATAAAGTAGCTTCCAATTCTATCCAACTAAAAGTTTAGTGTCGGATCTTTTACTTTTATTTAACGTTTTCTGTGTATAGTAGTCATATTACTTACGAAAACGTGTCTGATTTTAAATAAAATAATTACTTTTCTAATGATATATTGTTCAGAAATAATTATAACTGTAAACGTGATCAGCCATAAGCAAACCCTAGTTCTGTTCCAAGCGGTCAGCCAAGTTTATACTATCAGACGTATCCGGAAATTGTGTAGCCACATCCTAGTTATTAAGTAAACCTTAAACTATGTAACTTTAGACAAGGTTTAATATTAGTGTGCACTATATTAATAAATTGCATACAATTCAAACATTTCATAATTTATATTTGAATAATAATAATCAAAAGTAAATAATCTTAATGTATTAAACCAAAATTCAATGAATGTAGGACCTATAACAACAACGCAAACACAATAGATATATATTTTTAAATAAAGCTTTTCAATTCTATGATATGTTTCTACATACTAATTTGATATATGTACATTGTACAAGTTTTCATATACATGTTATTTTGTTACAGATGGACTGGCGAGTGGTTTTGGAAGTTGAAAATACTGCTGCTGTACATTAGTACAATGCTTTCCGCTTACAATGTGAGCTATGAGGATACTTTGAGCACTAGTAAAAATGTTTTCGCGGCTATGAATCTTAACAGCACCTCGTTTTTGGGGGGTGTTTTGATTTTAAAAACCCTCACGGGAGAATCAGTTGAAGTTATCGATGAGCCTAAATCAAATCGTACCACGGATATAATTGACGTTAAAATAGTACAGGTCGGATTTTGTATTCTCTATACAATAATTTTTGTTCTTGGAGTGTTTGGGAATGTATTGGTCTGCTATGTTGTTTTCCGAAATCGAGCAATGCAAACAGTAACTAATCTTTTCATTACGAATTTGGCATTATCGGATATACTTCTCTGTGTTTTTGCTGTGCCACTAACGCCTATGTATACGTTCTTAGGAAGATGGGTGTTTGGAAGAATTCTCTGCCACCTAATGCCATATGCTCAAGGAACAAGTGTTTACATATCAACCCTCACGCTAACTTCAATAGCTATAGACAGGTTTTTCGTCATAATTTATCCTTTTCATCCTAGAATGAAACTAACCACGTGCATATTCATAATTATATTTATCTGGGTATTCTCGTTAGTTGTCACTTGTCCTTATGGCTTATTTATGGGAATCCAAATCACAAATAACAAGACTTATTGCGAAGAAAGTTGGCCATCAGATAAATCAAGGAAGATTTTCGGAGTCTTCACGACCGTATTACAATTCTTAATACCATTTCTAGTGATAGCGATTTGTTATACATGTGTAAGCATAAGATTAAACGATCGTGCCCGATCAAAACCAGGTGCTAAAAATACAAGGAGAGAGGAAGCAGATAGGGATAGAAAGAAAAGAACAAATAGAATGCTAATATCTATGGTCGCAATTTTTGGCACGTCTTGGTTACCATTAAATTTAATAAACATATTTAACGATTTTTACGCTCAAATGACAGAGTGGAATTATTATTACGTTTCATTTTTCCTTGCACATTCTATGGCCATGGCATCTACATGCTACAACCCATTCCTATATGCGTGGCTAAACGAGAATTTTAGGAAAGAATTTAAACAGGTTCTGCCCTTTTTTGAATCAACGGGCGGAGTGCGAAATAGTTATCATTCAGGGAGAATGCCCACAAATAAAGCTGATAAGATATGTAACGGGAACGAAACCATCCAAGAAACATTACTTGCGTCCTCTTTCAATAGAGGACCATCCATAAAACAACGGATGCTAGAAGGAAATAGTAATGGAAAAAAGGACGGTGTTGAAGTTGAGAACATTTTGTTAGAAGATAAAACTATCTCGTCGACATTTCATACGAAGACTGAAAATATGAGTTTGCAGTTGATAAGCGAAGAATCGCAGTTCGTAGAACCGAAAGAGGCAAAGACTCAAATATAATAGTGAGTATAACCTTTGTACTACATATTATTTAGAATTTCGAATACTTAATTTCGTTAATTAGTAATTTTATTACGTTTAAAATTGCTATTCCAGAACACAAACAATAATAGACGAAAATGTTTTGGAATAACAATAACAAAGTATTGTTTAGCTTAGATTGATACAAAATAAATTCATTTGCTTTCTTTAATCATCATTTATTATAAACAAAATTAAATGTAAGTCGAGATATTAAAAATCATTTTGTGGATAAACTTATCAACTCTCCAGACGTGAAATGAAAACGATACAATTCTGTTCGGAACGTAGATAAAAGTTCAATCCTTGGTTTATGTTCTTAGGTAGTTAGGGGAATATCTAACGACTATTAATATTTCAGCTTTAAAAATTCTTACAATATTTTAAGTTTGACTTTTTAAAGCACTTTTATATTAAAAGAGAGATTCATTATTAACTGTTTTCAATAGTAAATTTTATGTATAAAAATCTAGCAGAGCTGTATTAGTTACTAAACTGCTTCGATACGGTTGGAAAGATTTTTATGAAGTTTTGTGTGCATAGGTATGAGCTACAGCCAAAATTAATTTTTCATAGCCCTAAGTAGTAAAACTATTTCATCATCTGCTTGCCACATTTTATAGTCATTTTACATTAAAATTAAGGCTGAAAATCTCAAGTAGTTTATAAAATATATTACTTAAGATTTTCATCGTTTTACGTTCGACGCCAGGTTTAAATCGCAATCTTTACATATTTAATCCACAGACCTATATAAGTTTTATTAAATGGCAATAAAATATTAAATATTGTAGTGCTATATTTTTTATGAAATTAATATCTCTAACGCTCTATAGTATCTCAAAAATCCAATAGAATTAGTTTTAGAAAGTAGGTTTCATTCGATCTTTATTTTTCACAATACCCCGTTAAAGTGCACGCAAACTTTGAAAGAGCATTCACTTTAGCTATAAAAGATTTCGTTCAAGTTCCTCTCTTCAGGTATACACCAACCACTTATTCGATTGAATAGAAAAATAGCTACTATTCTATGTTTTAAAACTAAAAAATATCCTGAAACAGTATTGAAACTATAAAAATTAATCACACATGAATAAATAAGTATATTTTATTTAAGTAGTTCATAATTGTTTTATTTTTAAGAAATCTTTATCATTGTCATATATAAACTCGATAAAATGAAATCTTAAATCAATGTTAAATTGAATAATATTTAAATTACAATTTAATAATATTTAAATTACAATTTTCCTTGACATGTTACCGTTTTTCCTAGGTATATCTATAGACACAGAATTCAATAAGACCGAGTTTAATTGAGCATCGTACTATTAAAATATGACTTTATCGAAAGTCATTAAAGGTTTATTAGAAAGTATACTATTAAAATTTCAAGTCTAAAGGACTCAAGGAATCAGATTTTTTAAAAACGACCGCAAATATATTCAACCAAATGATTATATGATAAAATATTCATTCTTATTAAGATATTTTTTGTTTGTTTCAGAATTTCCAAGCCACAGTAAGACGCAATTCAGAATTCATCTCTTCATCTACACAATTCATTACTTACGTTCCATCTGAGTCTCATCGCAAGCTTAAATTTAAGTATAATTTTATGGTATGTTAGATATAAATGAAGATTTTTGCATGTTTTAAATGTACTATACTGCTTTAAAATGTTATAACGGTAAAGAGAATTTAGATGATGTTTTTGTTTGCTAATTGTGATGTAGCATTAATAGATTTAATTATCTTTTTATTGTAAATAAATTAACTTAATATATAAGAAATGATTGTCTTTATAGATAAGCAAGTAGGTATCCGAGAGGCCTATTAATAAGAGTTTATTATAGATGGATGTGTAATAATTCTCGAATAGAAAAAAAGTAACAAATTGTGTTTCTTGATAAACTGTTGAGCCCAATTTCAAACTTGATTGCAAGCTTTATGTTGTAGGCAAAGAAAATTTTACATACTTTAAGGTTAAATGTAAAATATTTCTTAATACAAATTAGGTATCACATTATAGGATGGTATAATTATTGCAGCAATCATGTTTGAAATTAAGTGTTTATCGGGAAACACAAAAATTACTAATTTTTAACTAATAAATATATCCATGTAGTATGTATAGTAATTATTCGTTTAATATAATAATTACTTTATTGTACAAAGTTACGAGATCTATTGTTATTTATAAATTAAGTATAAAATACGAAACTGTTTAACGAAATTGCTTAAATGCTATGTAGATTCATGATTAAATCAACAAATTAACTATGTAAAATACATTTTATTTGGTAGAATAATAAATACTGCTGTTTTATTAGTAATATACCCTTCTTTAGTTATTTACACATTAAATTCCTCGATACTAAAAGCGAACATTTAGAATAATAGTCTTTTTTTGAAAATCAAATTAAAAGCATCTTTAAATATATTCAATAAATATCCTTCTTTCACTTCTTTAGGGATTGGGAAGGACTTATCTTAACAAAGGTATGGCTTACGATGACGTATTGGAATTGGTAAAGTATTTCAAAGGTTGCATTCTCATTAAAATTGCTTTGGTTGAATTGAAAAAGAAACAGTTATCGAATAGCATATAAATGAAATAAGGAAGACATAATCTATTGGAAACGGATTTTATTCCATTAAAAATAACGAAATGTTTGTGGAACAAAACGTTTTCGTTTATAAATGTTTTTTACCATTATATATGTAGTTATATTACAAGTTTCAAAGTTCACCCTAACTTTAAATTGATTTATTGGTATTGTTTGTATTTTTTTTATATAGAAATTCTTTCCAAATAAATATAACCTCAGTGTTTGTATTTCCTCATCCCAAAACGTAAATAATATTAATGTTTAGGGTAAGAGATTATTGGGTTGTTTGTAAAATACACGCAGCCTTTTAAATCAGCTTTTATCCCAAGCCACAATAAATTTTTACCATAAATAACGTTACTCAGTATTAAAAGTTACTCACGCGTGTAAATGGAAAAAAACTTCCGATATTGCATTTAAAATCGACTTTGTTGCTGAACTGATCAAACATATTTGGCATTGAATATCACATATCCAATACAATTTTGTAAGGATTTATTTAAATTGAAATTTTGATTATATTAATCTTGTGAATTCTGGATAAGAAGACCATTTATTGTATTAACAATTTATTTTTTATAATACTTTACTAATTTGTTTGTCCTAATTAAATATTACTTTGAATAATGAACGAACTTAAAAAATAAACAACTGAGATTTAAAGCTGGGATTGTATATTAATAAAAAATTAAAGCATGAATATTCCTGAATTTCAATTTGGACTAAAAACAAAATAAAAAATATATATACCATAATACATTTTATATGCACTTTCTGAAAAACGATTAAAGGATCTTGAAGTCCCGATAACTAGGAAGTTACTATAAGACGATTTCTTCTACCGCTTTTCAATTTTATAAATTTAATTAAAATTACATCTCTTCAAATAACGACCAGCTAATATCGGAAAGCAAGATTCGGTTCTTAAAACTTTTTTTTAGAGGACTTCTTTCAAAAAAGTTTTTATACTTTTATTCGCTAAGGTATAAATTTTATCACAATTTAATATTACTTTTGATTTTGCATATTTTATATTTTTTTTTTTAATCTCTATTGGTGTTTTGAAACTGAATATTCAATTCTATTTTGAAACTGAAATGATTAATGGGAATTTTGTTAGTAAATAACCTTATTGGACGACCTTGAATATATGTGGTGATAGAGTATCCACTGAAATTGTAGTGCCCTTAACTTAATGTACCGGAAAGGTCACCATCCTTTCGCATACCATACATAATATAGTAATAACATATCCAATATAGGAATTTCATTAGAATTATAGCTTGCGGTCATCTAATTTCTGATTACCTATCGTCAGTTACTTGTTAAAGTAATTTTGATTTTCATATTATACGTATATATAACAAGGCAAGTATATAAATCTATAAAAATATATTCGTGCTTAAATTTATTTGTACATAGGTATGTGCTTTGAATTTTATAAAACATTTATGTAACTTTTTCGACCCCTCATTAAAACACCAGTACTTTTACCGTTATGAAATAATTAATTAAACATGCAATGAGCTGCCCTAATTCACTATTTGGAAATAATCGATTAATGATCCCTGTCTGCCTCTATAATTGCGTCATTTATTCTGGATTACAATGTGATAGATCTGAATTGGAGTTTGTCAATTTGGATATATGCTCGTGTAGTTTTGGCAGTGTACGTTATGTATAGCAATATAACATAGGTCATAAATAATGTGTCCTATATACCGTAATAAATAAAAGTCAATTTGTTTGTTTGCGTATCATGAAGTTACTTATAATCATAGTTGGTTCGACAAACACAACAGTCCCTGAGGAGAATCTATTAAAAAAAATAATTATATTTTGCTTACAATTAACCAAACACTGCTTAGGACCTTTAAATTCCAAGCGCTGATTCTCTCTATATAGCATTTTAAAGTCAAAACAGCCAAAGAACAAAGCAAATGTGAATATACATATAAAATTTTCATAAAAATATAACATTGCTTATGGCTCACATTATGAAAACATAATTTTCCCTTCCGTACCATAGGATTGTAACTTTCAAACTCATTTGAAAACAATGTAGACACATACATGAAAAGTAATATTTAACAGACAAAAGCAATTTTATAACATGCTTATATACTTTGTGAAGAAAGAAAATTACTTATTTTAATAATTTTGTCCACGATTGAAATAAGCCTTAAATTATTATTTATTTCATGTTAATGAATCCTTTTTGAAATTATGTATTAATGTCGAGTTACTGATAAATCTATTTGTAATTCAAATGTGAATATTTAAAAAGGAATAATTTAAAATGCAAAATATAAAGCTTATTAATGTTTTTCATTAATTTAATTATTGTACTATTATCATACAGATTTA